CACACTCTGCCGTGTGTGCAGTGCACAAGTGCTGTCTCCCGTCTCACCTCCGGGCTGTAATTGGCCAGGCTTTCCTCACTGCACTCTCTGATAAAATTAACATAACTCATGGACGACCTCATGCTGGTTGCTAGAATTCTCATGTTATAAAAAGCTAAGATTCTTTTTAGATTGTTATGAAGAATAAATTCATTTAAATATCTGTTGGCATTCTGTAACACATTCTTACCAAAACTGTGACAGTTTGCTAGCACTATTGATTCTTTTTCTAAGAAGACTTTATATATATGTGTATATAATATATATATGTATATATATATATAAATTATAAATTAACTAGACCCAAAGCCTATCCAATCTACTCTTCTACCCATCTGGGGTCCAGCACTGTCTGTTCCTCTCAAGCTAGTAGTACTTAACTCTAGAAAGAAAATAGAATTCTAAAATTTATGTTTACTTAATACTTAGAATTGTACTTCCACAAAGATAGTCTATTGATGAAAGCTGTAATCCCATGCACAGGTTTGCTGGATGGGTGGCAGAGTGTATACTTAGAGTAGTTTGGCGACAGAGACGACTGTCACCAGAAGGCCTAGGTCCTGTCCTCTGCCGGATGCTGGTCTCTCACGGTGTCTGAGTCGTAAAGAAGCATGTGCTCAGGCTCCACCCTAATGACCCCATTTCAGCTCCGTCATTCTTCTAAAGGTTCTGTCTCCAGAACATTTAAGGTGGTGTGGCTGGTGGCTGGAAGGAGTTAGGACATGATATAGCCGTGGCACTCAGGAAGAACTTGTTTCAATTTTTCATTCATTTTTACAACTAGTGCAGAGCACTCTAGCAGACTTGGAAACTTACACCCTTGTTCTTGTGTTTGTGGACAGCGTTTTAATTATAAATCATAATAGATGAGAACTGTATAGAATTGAGGGGTTGGGGGACCGTTATTCTTACCCCAGGGGCAGTTATACGTGGGCACCGTCCTGCTTACCCCAGGGGCAGTTATACGTGGGCACCGTCCTGCTTACCCCAGGGGCAGTTATACGTGGGTACCGTCCTGCTTACCCCAGGAGCAGTTATATGTGGGTACCGTCCTGCTTCAGGGGCAATTATATGTGGGCACCGTCCTGCTTACCCCAGGAGCAGTTATACGTGGGTATCGTCCTGCTTACCCCAGGGGCAGTTAGACATGGGCACCGTCCTGCTTACCCCAGGGGCAGTTATACGTGGGCACCATCCTGCTTACCCCAGGGGCAGTTATATGTGGGTACCGTCTGCTCCTCTTGCTCCCCAGCAGTGATGCTGAGTCGTAGGCATTGACCCCTGTTGTTACTGCACTGGATGAAGATCCGTGTCTGGAGACCTTTGTGTACAGTCTGGGGTTCTCCCTGTAGGGTATGAAGACACATCTGTTTCTGTGTTAGTTTAAGAGGAAAACCTTTTCCTGTCCTCTTGCCCAGTCCCTCGGGCTGGTCTGCTTGTCTGGAAGCCATTACTCTGAGGAGGACAGAGGTCTGAAGAGAAAGTGCTCCCTTTGGGAGCAAGGCCAGCTGCCGTTGCTGAGGTGGTGCAGCCTGAGCTCTGGTAGAAATGCGGGAAGACTCCAGGAAGCTGCCCGTCTGCATTCTTACTTGACTATATCAGAGAGTGATGGAAGCATAGTACCAATGCAGATGATTAGGTTATGGTGTTTGATGATTGTGCTTTTAATTTTCAAAGACATTTTAAATTTTTTTTATAGATAACATATTTGCAATAAAATCCTGGGCCAAAAGAAAATTTGGACTTGAAGAAAATAAAATTGACAAAAACTTTGGAATTCCAGAAGACTTTGACTACATAGACTAAAATGTTGGATGATAAAGGATTTGCGAGCTCTTAAATCGTCAAGTCTTAAAAATTATCTAACTAATGCTGCCGAATTTCCATCTATCTGTTAACTGTTTTTCATTTTACAATTTTAAATAAAGTATAAAATAAGGATGTTTCTTGTCCCTTTTTGGTAACCATATTACACATTGTGCTCATGAAAGTGCTCATTAAGGCAGGGCAGTTCATGCAAAGTCCCCACCCCGTCAAGTAAGGTGTGCACAGGATTCTTAAAAAGCAAAGCCATGGCTTGATGGAGCTTTTAAATTTCATTCAAATATTAAATGCCCTGTTGCAAAGACAGACACACACATACACACACAGTCAGAAATAACATTTAAAACAAAAGGGCTGTTTCACTGTACCTCAGAATTTGGTGGAAACGGATGTGACTGGCATCCAGTCTGCTGCACCAGCTTTGCAAACTGCAAACAGGAAAGTATTCCTTCAGTTTAGAATTGCATTGCAATTCCTCAGACATGAAGACTGCTTTGTCGTAATGTTTGCTACCTTTCTACTGGAAAGAACATGGCCCATTGTCGTGATGTATGTCCTTATGTTCCTTGACATAACACGCATAGTCATGTGAGTGCCTGCCCCCGGCCCAGCTATGGAAAGGAAAAGGCTCAGCTTAGCCTTCTGGAGCATCTGCAGACTTAAAGACAAAAGCAGTATGGTTAGGCCCACGACACCACACTGGCCTCAATATCTTCACACTGTCCAGAGCTGGCATTCTTTCAAGTAACTTGAGTTAAGTGCTCCATATGTCTGAAATGACCCAAGTGACGTCCAGGGCATTTGCTTGTGAATCAGGCCTTTGTATTTTCAGGAGTTGCTCTGGGCCTGCTTAATCCCTTCCTGGCTGTGGGCAGTGCGAATTGGTCTATCTTTGTTTGTTCTTGAGACCATCTCACTGGATGAATTGGATGTGTGAAATAGAAGCACAGAGCTTTGCATGTCCCTCATACTTTTAGTCACAGCACTTGGGATACTGAGGCAGAAGGATTGCCTTGAGTTCGAGACTAGCCTGGGCTCCAAAGGAAAAGGGGGGAAAAAGATAAGAAACCCTTGACTACACAAATGCAGACATTCATAAGAGTTTTCAGGCCTGACTCACTATCTTTGCTTCCTTGTTTAGAAAAAGTGTATGTGTGTTCAAAGAAGATGCCTTTTTCCATAATGCCTGAGGTGCTGTTCTGAAAGCAGGGGACTCTTTCTGGGTTTGGACCTTCAGGAGGCTAGTGGAGAGTGAGTGAAGTGGGGTGTGCTCGGGACCTAACCTGGGCTTCCCCACTCTCCTTAGCCGGTCACGTGCTTGTTTAATAGCTGACTCTGGAAGGAGAGCAGGCCGCCGACACTTAGTCTTCGTGTGTTATAAACATGTCTGGTATAGGTAAGTTCACACCACCAATGTGAAGATAGTACAGAAAGGGGTAGGGTCCCTACCAAGGAGTAGCAAGCTCTCATGTCGTAGTCTCATTTCTGGAAGGTTTTAAAACTTTCAAAAACTCCAGGGAACTTACCTTGGTGAGTCCAAAGTTCTTGCACCTAATTTACTTCCTGCATCTGGTAAACAAGAAAAGCGAGAACTATAACTTTCTAATCTTCAATTCCCTCAGAGACCCAAGAAGGAAATAATACTGAGTAAGCAAGCAAGCAACTTACAAAAAAAGTGAGAAATGACAGAAATGGCTGCCTGAACAGTCACCTAAGTTCCTCTGTAATGTTGGGGCATCCATCTTCTGCCTACAGGACTAGAATAGCTGACAGACTTTTCTGTGAAGCAGTTAGTCTGAAGGGCTGTCCCTTCTTGTTGTGACAATGTTTAGCAGTCACTTTCTTTTGTATCCTGCTTGTCCAATTAGAACAGCATGCTGTCAGAAGTTGAGGCAAGGGCCTTACCCAGCAGCTTACTTTTGCTACAAAGAAAGTGAACTCCATGTGAAGCTTCTTCAATACACAGTATCTTCTCTGAAGTAGATTGGTGCTGCCAGGAGCAGACATGTCTCATTGTCATAAAAAAAAAAAAGAAGGACCTAGCTTATTAAAACATTTTAAATGCCATATTCTGTAGATCTCTGAAGTGTTTGAAGATGACCTGTCTATCTAAAATATATCTGTTTGACTTTGAAAACTTACCTAATGTGACCACAAGTTCAATTATGATAGGTGATTAACTACTATCCTGCATTCCCCTATTATCCTAAAGAGTTGGTAATAATAATTTTCAAGGACTAGAAATTTGCATTACATTGTTAAATGAGTTGTATAATACCTTGAACAAGAGTAGAAATGTATGTACAATATGTTCTAACAAATCTCAAATTTGTATCAGTATACAAATTTGTATAAAATATACAAATGTTCAATCCAATGTGAAACATTTGAAAGTAGTAGTTGCTTTTTAAAAGTAGATTCAATAATTACCTTTTATTCTATCATGTCTAAATCCCCTTTTTCTTTAAAAAAAAAAACCAAACACTGAATATAATTTCCTGTGTTCAACCTTTCTCCTAACCATAACCAACTAGAAACCAACCCCCTAAACAATGACAAATATCCATAACCCACAAAACCCACTGAATGACCAAAACCCATCTATTCCACCTATTGGGAATGTAGGCATTATAGTCTTAAATTTACTTCCTGCTGTCTGGTGAGACAACATATCTTTAGGAGATCCTGGAAAGAAAAATTTGGGTTAATTGTCAAGTCCTGGGAGAGACAGCTGTATCATTTGTTGTCCAGTCTCTGTGTAATAAGAAACTGCAGGGCTTGTCTCAAGTCCTGGCTAGAGTAGTCTGCTAGGCTGGATCATCTCAGTTAGCCACCTCAAAATTATTCTGAGCAGGTTGTAATCCAAAAGCCAATCTTTAGATGGTGTTTTTCAACTTAGTGGTGTTATCATAGTCCTGGAGCAATTGCCATTGTGGGGCCCCATCTTCCTTTTGGAGACTTCAAAGGTCACTGGTAGTATGTTCATGGGTCACTGCAGAAAACTGATAGAGACTGAAATGTGAAATCATGTACAGGAAGGTAGATGAAACCTCTTTCCAGCATTAGTACTCTATATGACCATTAATACCATGACAAAAAAGTTTAATATATTTTATATATGTGTGTATATATATTATAAATCTTATACCTTAAGAAAAGTTGCTAAAGAGTCAATATAAAAAAATGTTCCTTGGGCAGCAGAGGAGAGGGTGTCTGAACTTGCCTTGTCCCATAGCCACACCGATGAATATCTTGCATATCACCATAGAACCTTCATCTGGCGATGGATGGAGATAGAGACAGAGACCCACATTGGAGCACTGGACTTAGCTCCCAAGGTCCAAATGAGGAGCAGAAGGAGGGAGAACATGAGCAAGGAAATCAGGGCCATGAGGGGTGCGTCCACCCATGGAGATGGTGGGATTGATCTAATGGGAGCTCACCAAGGCCAGCTGGACTGGGAGTGTTGGAGCATGTGATCAAAATGGACTCTCTGAATGTGACTGTCAATGAAGGCTGACTGAGAAGCCAAGGACAATGGCATTGCGTTTTTATTCTACTGCATGGACTGACTTTGTGAGAGCCTGGTTTGTTTGGATGCTCACCTTTATAGACCTGTATGGAGGGGGGAGGACCTTGGACTTCCCACGGGGCAGGGAACCCTGACTGCTCTTAAGACTAGAAAGGGAGGGGGAGGTGGGGAGGGGGAGGGAAAGGGAAGGCGGGAAGGAGGTGGAAATTTTTAGTAAATAAATAAATTAAAATTGAAAAAAAAAAGGATCATGAGATTAGTAGCAATAAAAATAGTCCTTAAGTATTTCTTTTTCTTCTGTCCCATATCAGGTGACTCTTCTGACATGAGACAGAAATTTTAAATTTTACTTTAATAAGCATGCTTGGGTTTAGAGAAGGAGAAAGCCACACTCCAACTTCAAAGCCAGCATTAATCTTTAATTGGATTGGTACTACACAAAGACTGTTTGTATTATATGTCTGTAGAGAACAGCAGAAACAAACATTTGGGAAGATTTATGAAATTTTATCCTGTTGGAAATATGATATACCAAGTGGCCAATTTACTCTTTTTCTTGGCATATTTTTTTTCTGGATGATTTGACCTTTTTCTTCAGATGTCTCATTTGTCCAATGATCTTCAGATTTCTTAGCTGGATACCTTTATTCTCCTGAAAAGACAGAAACAAAACCCTTCCTGAACCTTAATTTTGGGGAGATTCTCTTTTGTAAGTTATATCTGATCAGATGATTATTTGTTAGTTTTTTAGGTTAGCTTAGATTAAACAGCTATGTTGAGAGGTTCTTTAAAATCCCTTAGTACCATAGCAGTAGCATATTATTCTGATTTTTGTACAGAATAATAAGATCTTTGATTCACTTAACTTTTCTGATTTGTAAGCTGCCTTTCCTGTTTTATTTGCATCATCACAAGAGAATATAGGAGCTCCAGCTATTGGTGTGTCCCGTACAATACAAGGAAGGATCCAGTTCTCTTTATAAGTTAAATTCTCTTGCTTTTTGGAGAGTTGTTGCTAATCTCTCCCAAACAATTACTGCAAGATCTTTGTCAGCATTCACTTTCTGCCCATAATTTGTCAATTTCATCATTATGAACTATAATTTCTGCTGGGTCTATTTCTGTTAATTAATGAAGTCTCAAGTTTCCTTTTAGAATTAACTTAGAGACCTTTCTCACATAAATTTAAAAAAATTTTATTTGATTTATGTAGCTAAAAGATTCATTCTAAGACAATATCTTCCCTCTGTGTTAAAATCCCTGTATGGGAATATTTGGAGGGAAATATGACCAGAATGCAGTTAAGATTCGATCTGCACAATCCACATATACCTTCTTTAGTTTCTCTTCAATCAAAGCCAATTCTCTTTTAGCTTCAGCTGATAATTCCCTGGGACTATTTAAGTCCTTGTCACCATCTAAGGTTTTGTTTAAATTAATTAACTCATCAGGTTTTATCTTAATAGTTTTTTGGCCATAGATGGAAAATGTCTTCTAGCAATCTTTCGAAGTCATTCAGAGTCTACAATCAGTCTCTCCTAATTTTCACCTTTTGGGGTCTAATTTTTTGTAAACTTATTTTGTA